CAGGGATGGGGAAACTACGGCCCGCGGGCCAACTGTGGCCCGCCGGAAGATTTTATCCGGCCCGCGGACAGAATTTTAACTAGCCGATCAGTGGCGAATATATCTACTTTGTTTAAAACTATTTTTGTTGATTTCTTTTTTAACAAAGTACTGATGACCTTTTCACTTTCTCTATTTTTGTTCTACAAAACATAAATTAATTAAAATAGTTAGCACAAACAGCTTTAACTGGTAAAATGTTGAAAGCAAAAGTTCTTTATAGAATAGCTGTAGATTAGCTCCAACTAGTATTTGTCTTTCTCGAGGAGCAGACATATGGAATCTAATATAGGTGAATTGTACTTCACATGAGGCTGACTACGCGTTTTAAGTTCCAACGAACGGATTTTTCTGCCGGCTCTAGTTCTAACATTATTTACTGCGTATGGAAAGATTGCACACATACAACGTCATTGTAAATAATGGTGAAATTATTAAATGTATAAAATGGCTACTGCCTTTTTGAGTTATTTGTAAACATTTTTTATCCCAAAATGGCAACTAAAAAACGCAAGGTTGATGTAGAGTGACGTGCACTCAATGATGAATTGACTTTATTTTATTTCAGAAGATTTTACTCGGCCCACCAAACTTTTTTTTCTTGATTTTTGGCCCACGACCCAAAAAGTTTGCCCATCCCTGCCCTAGACAGTCATCTGATGGCAAGTTCTATGTATGCTAGGATAGGTCTCTTTAGTTAAAGGTGAGGTGCCCAGAAGTTGACAGGATTTAGCGATTATACTGCCACATATACAGAAATCTCTTCCAGGTCCCAGTCAGTGCCAGATTAAGCATAAGCGGGGGCCCTAGGCCATTCATATTTTTGGGGCCCACAGATTTTTTCTCGCATGTTTCTTTTATTTATTGAAACATAAAAGTATTTATAGATCTTTTCATTTATGAAAGCATATTTAAAATTAAAATAAATAATAAATTAAATTTTACTTTATTTTGTTAAATTGCTTCTTGTTTAAACAAGTCTCAGCTCGCTATAATATTGCCTTCAATTTTTTTGCATGCAAATCAAAATGACTAATTTGAACTTAAAAAACATTGATAAATCTTATAATACATAAACTGTAATAATACTTATAAATAATAACTAAGTAATAAACAAATGTGATTAACATTATGTAAAAAAATTATTGTATTTTATTTATATATTTGAAATTCAATTTTTTTTTCAATCATTGTTAATTTTTTAAAATTTATTTTCAAAAACTCCATTTTAAGAGGGCTCCAAGGCATGGCCTAATTGATAATCCAGCACTGGTCCCAGTGAGGATCTTTGCTATGCAGCACATACTTACTTAATCTCCATTGCACCCCTATTAGAAATGTGCTGCCTTATTACTATAGCAGACAGCTCAAGACACTTTGCCTGGAATTCTCCTAAAAAGCTGAAGTTTCTTTTGTTTCATGTTTAAAAATAGGGGAATTAGAAGAGATTAATGTCAGTGGCATGTCAAATACATAAAATAAAAAAAACCTATCCTATCCTAAGATGTGTTCTCTTACAAACACAGATAACTATTAAAAAAATTTCATCGTTTTACTGGAGAAAATTCGAATTATCAAATTACATCGCTCTTGCTTGATGCAGGTGTTAAATCAGCCCTGGTTGTTTTATACCTTTATATTAAAAATCCTTTGTTTCGTCCATCAATAGATAGAATAATTATGAACGTGCTTTTAATTACTATTAGATGAATAATGAAGTAGATAATACATATTTTAAATAGGGATCAGCTTTAACTAAAAAGAGACTCAGAAAATTTAAAGTCTTGGCTCCGTTTATATCCAAAGTCTAGCGCACAAACTGAAAGTGAAATTAAGTTTACTTTTCAAGTTATCAGACAACACATTTTTCGAAATAAAAGCACGATTCTTAACCAAATTTTCAAAATTTTATGACAATTACAGTATATTTATATAAATGTTATAAACCAGTATTTATAAGATATGAAGCCTAAAGAAATAAATTCAAGAATGATGCCAAGACATAAGTGCGCCTTAAGCCAAAGCACGTTCTATTTTATAAAAAAAATTAATTCATTATAAAAATAAATTACAATATGCAGGTATAAAATCAATACTAACAAGAAAGGAAGAAAAAAAATTCCACAAATATTATGAAATAATATTTTCTTAAAACCTTGTGAACAAACCAAGCCCAGAATGCTTTTTTTTTTTTAGCCGTGAATGAATCACGCACTTTATTTAATGAAGAACCACGTTCACGTGAAAATAACTTATTTCAATATAGAATGAAATAAGTAGTTTAATTCAATAAATAAGTTATTTAAAAAATTAATAGAAAATTTTTGAAAAAATTTAGAGAGAGACTTGGACAATTTTACATAACTTACCTTACAATTTGCCGGACAATTGACCGAGTGGAAGCAACGAATGGCGGCAAAATGTGAGCGAAAAGAAAGATTGCCAGATGATAAAACCTAAATAGTTTTTGATAAAATAACAAACAAAAAAAAAGAATTCTATCTCTGAAATCACTAAAACGAAATTAAGAAAACTAATTAAGAGTCTTTGATTTTAAATTGGTTTTTCAATATTTCCAGCAATGATTTTACCAAAAAAGCATTTTTTGAAGATGCATTCTTACGAAAGCGATTTTTGAAACGCGATTGCAGTTTCACCAAATGTAGTAGTTAAGAAGAATTCTCACTGTATGCAATTCTCGTACCTCCAATCTCCACTTTGGAATATAAAATCCTTGTTGTTGTTGTAATGCATGTGCATCGCACTAGAGCTGCACAATGGGCTATTGGCGACGGTCTGGAAAACATCCCTGAGGATTACCCGAAGACATGCCATCACAATTTTGATCCTCTGCAGAGGGGATGGCACCCCTGCTTCGGTAGCCTGACGACCTATAAAATCCTTAAAGGTGGAATATATTTTTCGACAAAAATCTCACCAATTAGGTCAATCGCAGGCATGCTAATGGCCCTTTCAGCAGAAAGTGCGTAATGCATTGAAGAATCATTCACACTGGGTTCGATTTTTTCGCATGCGAACGAGAAACTGATTGGCAAGTGTTTCACAAGTAGACAATTTCAACAGGCAATTGGTTGTCAAAAATTGCACCTAATCAGAAAGAACCTTCAGTGCAAGGCTACCGAAAGCAGCAGTGTCAACATGGCCACGCAAACAGGGAGAGTTCATGAGGAAAAACATTGATCAATTAACTGTATGAGATCAACTAATGGGGCCTAAATTAACAGTTTACTATATATTATATTATTTCCGGCGGCCGAAGATGTAGTAAATGGTAACTGATGCACGTTAAATCTGTCGAGTCGCAAAGTCCTGAATGTTCCCATAATAAATCAATATCTCTGGTCCAGGAATTTATTTGTCTCCTGGATTAATTCAAAATTACAAGGCTACGGAGTTGAACATTAGTAGTCGTAAGCCAAAAAAATTAGGTCGACTGTTCAACGAAGGATGTAATATAAAATGTATATACTTTAGAATTGAAATATTCTCTACAGCTTTATTTATTATAAACTACGACTTCACTCGACATTGTATTTTGGAGTGGTCGCTTATACGAATCGCAAGCAGAGAGAGTTTTTCCTCATCTTTTATTCTATCTTTTGTGAAGCCTTTTATCTCTGCAACTTATACGATCTGCTCTTCAGATTAAAAAGTTGGGCGTAGTTTGTAGTGCAGTGAGCTACTTAAAAAAAATAGTAGTGAGAAGGACGATACAAATAAAGTGTAGTTTGTAGCTACTCTGGGCAAACTTTAAACGTTAAGTGAAGAAATAAGGTTAAAACGCAACTGATTTTTCGAATCTAATTGATTAAAAACTTCACATGTTTGTGTCTCTGCAACAAGCGTTAATAAGAATTACGTATTACTATCATTTTAACTAGCCGAATACTAGCCAATTTATCTCATGCCACATCCTTAAGAGTAAATGTACATTCAGAAACCATTGATGTTATTTCTAAGAACGGGAATATATTTTAATGATTTTTGATAGACTTTATTTTTGAAAGCCGGTAAAATGAAATAAATAATTCGAAAATGAAATACAGAGCAAAATTGCACATTTCTAATAATCTCCAAGCATTTTTCAAATTAAACATTTCTTTTGAAAGAGGCATGAAAAGTTGAAAATTAAAAAGAACAAACTCATAAAAAATTGCTTAGAATAACAAAATGGTTCATAAAAATATGAATACATGTATAATGATTTTTCTTATTTATATAAGACAATTTTTTTTATTCAAAACCGTTTTGAACATGGGTATAAATTAAATTCCAGGAAAGTTTGACTCCTAATTGTAATGAATAATGACTACATTTCAGAACCAGTTTGTAGTCATTTAACTTTTAAAAAAAGTATTTGCGGCTGCAGTTAACTACATTTTTAAAAAAGCACTTGTATTTAACAACAAAAATAATGTAGTTTTTCGGACCACTGAAATGAGTTTACTAAACAAAAACTTTGAGTACACTATATAGATTTATTACCAAAAAATGAACTTTAAACCAGCTTGAACGAAAAACATACTTCCGTCTTGGACAACGACAGAGAAGATTGTGGTTTCTTGTCATGGCCTAATTGAAAAAAGAGAAACTTCATAGAAAAGAATTTTATTTTCGAAACGTTTCTGAAATAGGTTTCAGTTAAAAATACTGCGAAAAACGTAAAACGTTACAATCTTATAAAATAACATTTTGTACCATTTTTGTTCCGGAAAATTTTCTCTCTAGTTCTCTCTAGGAGTCACTATGATCCAAAATAATAAAATTAATGTAAATAATCCATTCTTTAGAAGAAATATTGTAAAGCAATCATAAGCCACATGATTTTTTTTTTGTCATTCTTTTCAATGTTTGTAATAATTATAAAACAAGCCACGCTGTAAACTGAGTTTAGAAGGCTTCTTTTCCTCCAGGTGATAATAAAACATCAGTGATAAGTAGCATATGAATTATGCAACGAACAAAAAGTTTATTTTAAAAAGTTTAAATGTAATTTTATTCTTTCGTAAATCGCTAAAAAGATTTTATCGCTTAATCAGAGAATATTCACGTTATTAGTTTTTTCAGAGAATCTTCTTTCTAGTTTCATTATTAGTAAATATAACCAACACCTTCTAGAAAAGAGAAAGACTTCGCCCAAATAACTTTAGCGAGTATAAACCGTACAGTGGTGGTGGTTAAAGTTGTTGTTAAATTACGTAGCACTAGAGCTGCACAATGGGCTATTGGCGACGGTCTGGGAAACATCCCGGAGGATGATCCGAAGACATGACATCACAATTTTGATCCTCCGCGGAGGGGATGGCACCCCCGCTTCGTTAGCCCGGCGACCTGCGCGCGAAGTCGAGCACTTTACGGTAGCACAGTTTAACGAGGACCAATACCGCACACCCTCGGTCCCTACGAAGACTGATCTAAGTGGTCACCCACCCGCACACTGACCGTAGCCAGTGATGCTTGACTTCGGTGATCTGCTGGGAACCATGTCTTAACGATCAGTCTACTGCGGGACGGTGGTGGTTAAAAGAAAGATACTACAACGTTTGGTCTATTAAACAGGATTAGATTTCTCCATTACGGTAACCTGAGTGGGAAGGTCTTGGCTCTTTAGGCGTTGATGTAACTCCCTTAGCAAATTCATAGCTAAGATTTCATTTCGATAGGAGTTGAGTATCATTAGCAAAAAGGCGAAAACATTATACTCTTATTGAAAAAGTCATTTTTTAAAAAATCTCTCTTTTCATCCTTATTCCATGCAAATGATTCATCTGAATGAATTTCATTCATGAGTTCATTCATCTTTTTTTTCCTCACATGAGTGTTATACTGTGATTGGCGATTGAAATGGGCTACAGGTGGAGTACAACAGAACACTACCTATGACAACACTTCGCCTGCTTACACCATTAGAGTTTGGGAAGTTATACGAGAAGGAAGTATGTTAGTTTTGAGGTGATTTTCAAACAGATTAAAACAGTTTAAGTTAAGAAACTATATGAAACTCAAAACAAAATTAAACATAGTTCTCAAATTAAGGGTCGCAGAAATTAAAAAAAAAAAATTTTTTTTTGGCAATTAAATGCAAAAAATACGATGATAGAGGGAAATATCGTAGTGCACGCCTTTGCAACTGAGTAGAGGAGAAAAGGAAAAGAGGGAGAGTCAAAAAATGGGTCTTCTCCCTAGATGACGTATTCAAGAGTTGCGATAGCGAATCCATGAAAGGAAAAATTTTGTTTTTAATTTATTTGTTTCTAGGACGCTAAAAATGAGTATTAAAATCCACTACCGCAGCATTTAATAGAGTTTTTTACCTTTGCATGTACTAAGTCACCCTAGTTTGCGGCGACACTGAGTTAGCCAAGCAGTCGGGATCTAAGCTAACAGAATTACTAATAATCTAATTAAAAATGTTATTTAGTGCAAGCGTAAAACATAAAAAACAATATAAAAATATTCATTAAAGGCGCATTAAAAACAAATTTCAACCTCTTAAAACAAAAGCTAGTTAACAGTTAAAAGCTCTAAAACAAAATCTAGTCTTAAAACGCAAAGCTAGTGTTCTAAAAAAAATTCCCATGCGACGTTTTCTGATGATTCAGGATTATTAAAAAATTGAGAGAATGAGGAACGATATTTTATTGTTCCAGCTATAGTTTAGCCCTGTTGTAGAATATCCTCTTGGTTGTGCAATTTTTTCCTCTTGGTGAGCAGAATTGGCGAACTGCCTTACATCAGTTGATGTTGCAGTTGAATTTCTATTTAATCGTCGAACACATTTTTCAATTCTAAAGCTACAAGCCCATAAAGCTCTAAAGCTACAAGCACCGAGATTCAAAATTCGGCTCTGTTCATTGAAAATTACGACAACAGTGTGCGGATGCGAAAAAAATATTGGAGAGGCAATTTACCGATATTGGCAATCGAAATGGGCTACGGGTGACCAGGAGCGGACTAAGGCCTAGGCAACCTAGACACGTGCCTAGGGCCCGAAAATAAGGTTTTTAATTTTTATCCTCATACAGGTGAAAACTTGCAGAAAATTATTTTAGAATTTTTAAATAATATAGATTTATACATCACTAACTGTCGGGGACAGAGTTATGATAATGCGTTTAATATAGGATATAATAAAGGACTCTAATCCAGAATAAAACATATTTCTTCAGCCCAATTAATACCATGCGCAAATCATTCATTAAATTTAACACTAGATTGCTTAAGGAAGTCATTTTGACTGCTTTTAATTTCATTTAGAAAAACAATGATGTATATAATGTCACAATTTCTTAGAATTTTGTACAACATATAATTTTTTTAGTGTTAATATAATATTTACTAAAAACTTGTAATATAACTGTACTGTAGATAATATAAAAAATTAATTTTTAAGAAATTTCTTTAAACATTATTTATTCTTATACAATCCAGTCATTTTGACTGCTTTTGGGCAATATAGGTATACACTA